ATCATAAAGTACACAGGAAAATTATATAAGAAAAAAACAATCCAACACTATAGCACATAATTGAAAAGATACACTTATGAAGGAAAATGTAACTTCTGATAAAACCACATCAAATTGTAAAACATGGAGACAGAAAGAAAGAGCATCAGGACACATCAAACAAAAAGCTACTATAACTGTGAGGGTTGGATGGCCATCCTGCATATGTGTGTTTGTTTTCGTTCATTTTTCAGAGAGACGTGTTTGTCATTCGTTTAAAATGTACAATGTAAACTGTTCTGTTTTTGAATGATTGATGAATGTGAAAAGACTTATCAGCAGTAGCAGAATATCAAAAGGCAGAGAACATATGAGCACTGTTTCCAATAGTAGTGTTGGAACAGTTGAGAGGCCACCTTGCCTGGAGCTGTCCAGTGGATTGCACAGATTTGCCACTGGAGCTGTCCAGTGGATTGCACAGATTTGCCACTTCCAGAAAGGTTCAGCCCATTTACTCCCTTTTTATGGGCCAGAAAGAAGGTAATCAGAATTGACCGTGGCTGACAGAGAATTTCAGGGTCTCCTGAGGGTCTTCGTCACCATCGGGTGGGCTCCTGGGGTTCTCCATCTCCATTGTCTGCCTCCAATGCCTTTCACAAACGTGAGACTAATCTAACCTGTAGACTCACTGAGTGGGATAAACAATGCCGAGTCTAGGCCGTGATCCGCTGCTTACTTTATGGCATTTTCCACCCTGAGTTGTGGCTTTCTTATGGAAAGTGAGTAAACGGGCTGAACCTGTCTGGAAGTGACAAATCTGTGCAATCCACTGGACAGCTCCAGGCAGGGTGGCCTCTCAACTGTTCCAACACTACTATTGGAAACAGTGCTCATATGTTCTGTGCCTTTTGATATTCTGCTACTGCTGATAAGTCTTTTCACATTCATGAATCATTCAAAAACAGAACAGTTTACATTGTACATTTTAAATGAATGACAAACACGTCTCTCTGAAAAAGGTTACAAGCAACCCAAGTTTAATATATTACCTAACGCTGTTTGTAGAAAATGTCATACTTTTAAGTAATAACACCGTTAAGTATTACTATAGGTTTCAACACTTAGCACACATCAGACTACAAAGTGAGAAAATTAAATGAACGTGTCTCACCAATTTGAGAGCTTTTCGTCTAAGCTCCCACTCATTCCACTCATATGACTTGACAATGTTTTTCTCCACAGGGTGAATTTCAGTCTGAGTGCCACACTCACATTTTATACCTGGCTTCACCGGTAAACCCTTTCTTGGCTGGATCTGCCAAACCAAAAGTCGAAATCAGTTACTACCAACAGATTGTCCAAACATAAGAAAGTTTTCAAAGCTCCCGTGAATTTCATTAAATGTTTTTGAAGTGTGTGTTGTGGCTATTAGAAAGTTACCCGTGAGAGTCTGCTCACATCAGAGCATGGACTAATACAGGAAAACTGTTGGTGGAGTTTGAGGAGCTGAATGAGTTCAGGGGAGTATTTGGCTTTTTCTGCAACCTCTGCAACAAAGCTGTCTGGACTAAGGGCAAACTTCATGGCAGCTTCTTTGGAGGTAAAAACATAGAGCTTCTCCTTGTGTTTCAGGACTCCGATGTTTGGATTACCTGCAAGAGATAAATATTAATATAATATTGGTCTACAGCCTCCCTTTGATCTACTCTATGTTCATTTAATTTGAAGTTAATGAAACAATCTTCCCCCTGATGCACCCATCAGAGAAGGAGAGTGAATGTTAGACAAGGTGCTTAAGTATAGAAAAAAGTGCTTCTATGAAGTCTTATGTGATGAACTGCTTTGAGTGCCCAGTTAACTAACCGATTAATGTGTCTAATTACACAGGTGAGAAGTTTTACTAAGATAAACACTCATATTAGCCTTATCATCAAAGGCTTGTATTGGCTAACAGTCCTAATACTTGGATCAAGGTGGAGCCGCGCTGTCCGAGATAAGAGGGAATGATGCTGCATCAAAATAAGCTAATTCACGCGTTCCAATCACTTTCAT